TCTAGGGTTCTTGTGGCTCTTGTTGGGCTTTTAGTGCAGTTGGTTCCCTGGTAGGACAAATGTTCAGGAAAACAGGCAAACTGGTTCCTCTGAGTGAACAGAACCTTGTAGACTGCTCCTGGTCACATGGCAACAAAGGCTGTGATGGTGGCTTGCCAGATCTGGCCTTCCAGTATGTGAAGGACAATGGAGGCTTGGACACCAGTGCGTCCTACCCGTATGAAGCACTGGTAAGTTTGAGCCTATGCTTTTGCACGAGCTTGGGTTTTACAAACAATTGTGCAGATAGTGGACTGTCCTTAAGAACTCATTTTTCCCATGATGTAATCCACCCCATTATCCTATGTGCTGCCATGAATGTCATCCTTTGCATGCTCATCCCATTCCATGGTTTCTGTATAGCTGTTCCTGCTTCTACGTATATGGAATACAGGCAAACTATTCTACAAATAACAATCTTCTCCACTGTGAAATTTCTTATCTACAGGAATACCTACAGGGTGTTATTGAAGGCACATGAGCTAATTTTTATTAGCCACCGAAATCTACCAGCTTGTCAGGTCCGGTGACATTCTATAGACACATACACTTGGAGAGCCTCAGCAGCAAATGCTGAGTCACTTAAGTGGATATGAGCTCTCAGCTAAGTGTAATTCTGAGTGACTCATGTTCCCCAGGAGGTGGATGGCAATAACCTTTCCTTTTTCTCTTTTGCTTTTCAAAGAATAGAACATGCAGGTACAATCCTAAAAACTCTGCTGCTAAAGTCCTGGGCTTTGTGAGCATCCAGTCTAGTGAAGATGCCCTCATGAAGGCTGTGGCCACTGTGGGACCTATCTCAGTTGGAATTGATACTAAGCACCCATCGTTCCAGTTCTATAAGGGGGGTAAGTGCTCTCTTTACAGAAGAGTTATGCTTCCACCACAGTTCATCAATGTGTCAATGTGTATTTACATAATTATTTTATGTAAATATTTTAAGTTATCGGTGTTACACTCAACGGGAGCAATATTTAACTGTGTTGCTTCTACTTGATGTTAAGGACAGTTTTATGAACATGTGCCCACCATTGTTTTTTAAATAAGCAAGAAGAGGTTTTATGTGACCTAATTTTATTGAGTTTTCTGAAGTTGCTGACTCTTTAAGACTTTAAATAAAGATTCCATTTCTGTAGTTCAGTCTCAGAGGTGCTTCTTGACACCCATATTTTGTGTTTCATGTGGTTTCCGTGTACTTTATAAGCAAGTTGGGGTTTCTTACATCCTCCCAAGCAAGTTTTTTCCTGAGACGTATGCTAACCTATGCTTCCATTATGTAACATGAAAGCTCATGTCTCAAGCCTCAATAACACTGAATCAATCTTGTCTGGGCCTTGAATTTAGAAATTATTGAAGATGACCACAGACACTGTGGGGCCACAGGAGCCTCTCATTTGGCTTTAATTTTACTTTCCAGGCATGTACTATGAGCCAGAATGTAGCAGCACTAATCTGGATCATGCTGTCCTGGTGGTTGGCTACGGTGAAGAATCAGATGGCAGGAAGTACTGGCTGGTCAAGAACAGGTATAAATAGTCAAAAGCACACGTGTTTGAAACACTAAGGGGAAGGAAATTTGCAGGCAGTATTTGGGTGCAGGTTTTAGCATTTATCCCACATATTTTGAATACAGAAGTTTTAGGGTGTGGTAACCATAAGACTCTGACATAGTTTGGAGAGGGTTAAGATTGGATTTGAACCACTGCCAAACGTGGTACTGAGCCAAATGTGGGTGGCTTTTCACCGTCCTTGTGTACTTCAACATCTGTCTCTGTGTTTCAAAGGAGAGTTAATGTAATGAAAGTGCTGCATTGTGTTCTTTCCATTAAATGGGACGCATGTTCTTCTTCCAGCTGGGGTGAAGACTGGGGCATGGATGGCTACATAAAGATGGCCAAAGACCGGAACAACAACTGTGGAATTGCTTCCGATGCTTCTTACCCTATCGTGTAACTGCTGGACAACAAGGAGTGGACGGAGGATGGCGTGTACCAAGGAGGGCTTTCCCCTTCGTGGACCGGCCTCAGCTCTGTGGGCAATGGCAGCTGAATCACTGGAGTTCCATGCTATGGTGTGAATTCTGGGACATTTTATTCCAGTTAAAATCAGCTGGCCCTCTATGGCTGTAAGCAGATTGGCGTTCATGAGCTTTGAATTTTAATTTTTTACAAGATGTAAACAAATTCTATAAAAATCTACATCGAAAAGATTGATGTTGCTTGCTTCTGTTTTGGGTATGGTGGCCTCTCTCACTCAAAAGTGCCCTTGAGTGTGAAAGGTGAAGGTGGTATTTTAGGGGAGACTGGGAGATTCTTTTTGTCATTAGGTCCATATTACAATCTTAATCAGATTTTGAGGTACACACCCTCAACTGTGGTCTCAGAACATGTGTAAAACTTTCAGATTTTGTTGTTGTTTGAAAAATGGTGTCTGTGTAACCTTGATTATAACTCACACAGTAGACCAGACTTCTCTCAAACTCAGAGATCGACCTGCCTCTGCTTCCCCATTGCTGGGATAAAAGACGTGTACTACCATGCCTGGCTTTTTTTTAATGTACATTGGTGTTTTACCTGTGTGTACGTTTGTGTGGGGGTCCCAGTCACTCTAGAACTAGGTTTACAAACAGCTCTGAGCTGCCATGTGCATGCTGGGGATTGAACCCCAGTCCTCTGGAAGAACAGCCAGGGCTCTTAACCCCTAAGCCATCTCTCCAGTCCCAGAACTTAAATTTTTAATCCACATATGTTTGCAAGGCTTAAATTATTTGCCATTATGTGTCAAGATGGCACTTTAGGTTGTCGCGTTGAACGGAACCTGGGTTTTAATCCCCCTTTTTGAAGCATCAGTCCTGTGGCCTGCTGTCACCTTGTAAAAGCCATCTCTCTAGATACATACTTCTACAGTCACAGGATGCTGGCACCCTGAAGTGACGCTTTTGTAACCCTACAGGGCCTCGAAACTCAGAAGCAGGGACCAGCGTACTCTTTCACTTGTCTTAACAGTTACCATTGATAATCTCCTGGCATGCATAACTGATATGTGTGAATCCAGTGAGCCAGCTGTCTCAAAACTGCAGAAGCTTATCCCATCCCCAGGCATTTGGTGCTTGCAAAAAGAAGAAGGAGACCATGCAGATTCAAAAACAGGTTTTCTAAGGAATACAGTTACTCCCCCATTGAGCCTTTAATAAACCCTTCTTCCTGTTTCCTATCATTAGCTACAAAAAAAAATGCTTTGAATTACACATTTGTTCTTTCTTGAACTCTGGTCAGTGAGTGACTGTGACATGTGCCCTGATCATCATGTGACTATAAATGTCACCTCTCTGACATCAAATATATCCTGTTCTATGACATCAAATATATCCTGTTCTAGCTGATTTGGATCACCTAAATCTCATCCTTTGTTTCTTCCTACAAACTTAATTCTTACCTGATTTTAGTAAGGTCCATACAGGGCAGAGCTGAGTAGGACCAAACATCTGGCTCTTTACAGAAAGCATTGCCACTACTGATATGCATGCTGTGCACTGCAGAAAGGTACTATGATGTGAGATTCAGTTTTGAGTGTTGTTGGGAGCAGCCCTGCTTATACACTGAAGGCCTAAAATCAGCCATAGGTGTAAAATCAGCAATAGGCCTGACATACATGCCTGCTAGCACCAAGTCTTGGGTCTCTGTGGAAAAACACTGAAACAGATAGCTGGAAGTTATTGTAAACAGACAGCTTTGGTGGAAGGCTGCCAAGCCTAGTCATAAGGCCTTGTAGATGGGTAACCTTGGTGGATAGTACCAACTTAGATAAAGACAAATGAATCATAGGCGGAGTCATAGTGGTCTGTCCCCTGAACCTTCACCGAGCTGACACTGTTCTGGAAGAGATCTGTACTCCTCCTGAACACCTACACTCCTGTGTCATCCCCTTCCCCACATCCTCCCTTTTTGTGTATATAACCTGTGTGTACAAAAGTAAAAATTACGATCTGATCAGATTATAGACAGGTCGTCATTCCTTTCATCTTTGCCTGCTCCCCCCTCCCCGCTCTCTTTCAGGTGACCTCCCCCGACTCCTGTTTAATGTCCTGCTGGACAGGACAGAGTGTGGGCATATTATCATCCCACTGACCAGAAGACACCTGTGGTAAGATGTAGGACCTGACATCCCAAAAGCCAGAAAGCAGCTGGTCAGAGGGAGGACTATGGAAGTCAGGGGACTACTACAAAAGAAAGACAGACAGACGAGCATGTGCAATGGGCCTGAGGAAGATACAGCCTTGTCCATGGAGGAGAAAGACGGAATGGTAACTATACAGGAAGAGCTTGGGCATGGAGGTGCAGGTGCTGAGTGATGCAGGAAGTGGTCAGAAAGCACAATAGCTCACAGATTGACTGATGATCTGGGCTTTAACCCAGGCCTCTGAGTCAAGCAGGTGTGAGGATTGTCTTAGGGTCAGAACTCCAACTGACATTTCAGACTTCCCTGCCAAGATTCAGGGGAACCTTGAGCCTTGCTAGCATGATGCAAAGACAGCTGGGGGCAGGGGGGAGGAGAAAAAAAGGAGAAAGAAATGGAACTGGAAATCCCTATACAGTTGCTTAAAGCTTATAACTCCAGAAGTGAGTGTCACCTGTCCTGCAAGCCTAGCTTCACGATCAGCTGGAAGGTTCTAGACGACCACTCTTCTGTCCAAATGGCTGGGAGATGAGTTCTCGTTTCCACTGTACCTATGCTGACACTGTTCTCCAGAGCTCTCTCTTCACTGAAGCCTTCGGCCTCTGACTGAAACATGCTTGAGGCTGATAGGAACAAGAATCTCTGTTGCTCCCTATCCCACCCAATCCCCTCCCTCCCTCCCTCCCTCCCTC